TTTGGTCAAGATGTATGCCTGAGATGATCAGGTACTCAATCCTTATTACCTGACTAATCACGTGATACACTGAGGTAAGGAGATCTACATTGGTTAGAACCAGGAATCGAAAGGTCAGTTAAGTAGCAATTCCAGGTCAGATAGCAAGCGTCAACTGTCTGGATATCAGCTGCCTTTTTTTGTCTTTACTGTGGGATGGAATATTTCTTTTTGCCATTCTCATTGATGACGCATATATGCTATTGACAAGAACAAAGATACATGTTACCATCACTGACTGTATAAGTTAACTATAAAATTTAAAAATAAAATTATGGAAAGACACATACATTTATGGAGCGTATCATCTTCAGGTTCATTTCATTTGCCCCTTAAAAATTCCCAACCCAAATTATCCAAGAACAAAAGTTGAACACTTACATTCAGATCCCTGAAATATTCATTATAATCCTGGAGAAAAGACAAATTATCCATTCATGAGAAATAGGTATTACAATGCAAGTACAAAATACTCATGCAAAAAAGTAGGTACTTTGCCCTCACAGTGGGCATCTCCCTAAGACAGACACCTCATTAAGATGGACACCCCTCTAAGACAGACACCTCCGTAAGATGGACACTTCTATAAGGCAGACACCTTCCTAAGATGGACACCTCTCTAAGGCAGACACCTCCCTAAGGTGGACACCTCTCTAAGGCAGACATCTTCCTAAGATGGACATCTCTCTAAGGCAGACGCCTCCCTATGATGGACACCTCTCTATAAAGGCAGACAACTTCCTAAGATGGACATCTCTCTAAGACAGATAACCCTTTAAATTTGACACCTTCCTAAACCAGACACCTCACTAAGGTGGACACCTTCCTAAGACAGACACCTACCTAAGTGGACACTGTCTTAAGACAGACAACTCTAAGGTGAACACCAAGACAGATGCCTTCATAGTTCTGAGCCTGTCTGACTTAGAAGCCATTGATTGCTTTGCATTTTGCTCTATTTTTTGGACATTCTCACTATCATAATTTGGTATAGCCCTTTTGATTGATAATACCATGTGTTACACTCACCAGTGCATAGCCTACAACAAACTTATCAGGAATCTCAAAACCAATATCTGAAATGAATAAAAACACGTCTTAGTGAAGTGAATACTTTCTGACATATTTTCAGTAAGCAATTCACAGTGATCAAACACATGACTGGGTGCCACTGACTGCCAGTATACATTAACATCTGTTTTAATTATTAAAACAGGTCACGCTTGCAATATTACGTGGTCTGAACTGAGGGTATTATAAATACAGACTTACAATCTGGGCGGTATCCATTACTCTTCGGTGTTCTCTTCACCAACAAACTAATAATAATGGAAACAACCAGAATCAGTATCCAAGATCCAAGGAAAGCACAATGTGCAGCACAATGTGCAGGACACTGGTTTTGAGCTTCTAAGTCACAAAGTGTGTATCTAAGTATAATCATTGAAAATCACTTTCAGGTCAAGATCCTTTAGAGTTCCAACTCAGCTTAACAAAATACCATTTGTTTCTACTTCACTTGTCCCCTTCTTCATCTCAGGCAAAAAAAATATAATAGCAGTATAAGAGTCGGTATAATATCATTGTATAATTGCATTGTAAACACCTCCCCACTTTGTTATCTATGGAAAACCCAGTTTAAGCATTGACATCATCACAATAATTTTGGAAATTTCTGTACCTTGCTACTTTAATCGATGCTGGTTTGAACTTGTTAAGAGTGTTTAATAATTTCTGCATAGTTGCTCCTGTGTCTATGATGTCCTGATAAAAGCAAGGATAACAACATTGATTAAGGAACAAGATAATAAAGATGCACCATAAGTGCTAATCGTTATTCTACAGCAGACTTATCAAATGTTTAACATAGGCCTGCTGAATTGTAACAATCTACATCAATCCATTTTGTGATTACTTACCTCCACAACTAACACATGCTGCAAGGAAAAACAACAGTAATCAGCATCTGTTCTTAAAAAAAGTAACACTCAACTAAACTTGAAAATTTTTTAGAACAAGCCCCATAGCTACTAGCAATGAGTGGCTACGGGAATAAGCTCCTGTTACCTACCTTCCCACTTAGTGAAGACAAGTCATCGCTTCCTATCACCTTTACTTCACCGGATGAGTGATCGTCCTGGCAAAGTCATGAACAATAGTACACTGTTCAGCAAAGTACACGATTATTTCAAAAGTAGCAATGTCACTTACAGCAGATTCCAATAAGTTAGAATTGAGAATTAAGGGACGAATCATTATTTTTTGATTGGGGGGGCGGGGTGTGTTCGGTAATTTTAAAAAAAATCCCGCACAGCATAAACTGCTGAGAAAAAGTCATGCAGGGGGAGCCATGAGGAAAAAAGTTGTTGACCAAGCACTGTATACTAACCAAGTGTGACTACTGCCCACCAAAAAATCATGCACAACCTAAAGGTTAGAAAAAAATTCATGCCCCAGAAAAATACCCAACTTCCCAACCCCCCTCACCCCCTCTCAAAAAAATAATGGTCCATCCCTAAATTTACTATTTCTCACTTTACCTCATAACTCTTCAATCTAATAAAGTCAACTGACATCTGCATAGATTGTTCTGTTGATTCATGAAGAGAAACAGCATTTTTAGTATTTTTTTTTTAATTATTAAGTAAAAACCCTTTGTTTCAAGGTTTCCCTCATTGTAAAAGAAACATGTTTGTACATGACAATGATCAGAATTTAAAAAATTTATAAAAAAAAAACCATTCACGCGAGAATTATGGCACACAGATAACAATTCAAGGCTGCTGCCCAATCAATTCTCTATTCTTTTAAAAAAGAACAATTAAGTTTATTGATACTTAAATTTTTTCCATTTTAATATAATGTTTTTATAGTCCCACCTGTTTTTGCATATATTTTGTAGTTGCCATTTTTGCCACGTTTATTCATCAAAGCCTGTAGTCTGGACAGCCGAAAGCTCAAACGTTTTAACTTTTCATGTATATAGCCATTGAACGCTTTTTATAAAATTTTAATATGTTTTGTCCTGGCTACAGTTCTTCTGATCAGGATTTTGTTCACTGACCTCCATTGGCATTGATTGTCCTTATATAATCCATAAGGTCGCCAAAAAATTGATAACCTCCTTTTAACACACACAATCCAATGAGTGGACCGCTACCAACATCACGGCAAATATTCCTAGCCAATCTTTCAGTTCTAAAACATTCAAAAGCAAGAACATAAGATCAAAAATTTGCCTTACAGCTATAATTTTACACAGTCAGTTCTTTTATTAGAGGACTTTACAACAAAAAATGCATTAGTTTCTGAAGCATCCCATTAGTGGAAAATGGCGCTATATAAATGTATATTTATTTATTTTTATGTATTTATTTATTTATCCCTCATTTTGAATTACCCGCACTTCCAGAAAATATCTATATTTCCTTCACAAAAGAGATTGGAATGTCCTGGGGAGGGAGGTGTGGGGTGTGCTCTAAGACCAAATACTTTAAAGAAATGTATGAAACTTTATTGGAATTTTCAAAGGGGTGGGGGTCTTCCTTCTATGGACGACGTATGGATATTTTCGGGAACCACACAATCACATTTTGAACACAATGCACAACAATAATACTGCCATGTTCAAACAGAGGGAAATCCATGACAACTCCGGTGTCTACCAGCATCATTGCATATGGTGGCAACATCTTACACACTTTCCCATTATGTTTCACTTTTATAATGTCTGCTTACCGATCATTTATAAGTCCCTTTGGTATCAAAATTGACTCGACGTCACTCTCATAATGCCTTGGTAAGCAAAACATCTCCAAAGAATAACCTTTATAGTTATCAGGAATCTACAAACAAAAGTGAAACTCTTCAGGATTAAGTAAGATTCACAGCACAAGTCATTTGCCTTTACTAACAACCTGAAGTTCCAATCTTCTTCATTAGCTTACTCATGCATGTGTTTCTTTGATCCTTTACTTCTTCCTTTGTTTGTTTATTCATTTGTGTTTTCTTAGAGCTATTTATGTATCATGATCCACTCCGAAAAGTATAATTACTTGCCTGAGATTATCATCACTGATAAGTTATGTCTCAGGCAAGTCATCTCACCAAATCAATGTTTGCATTGAAGAGCTGATATTCTATAAATTACTTCAGTATATTTGTTTTACATGAAAAGAGTGAGCCAGACCATACTAGAAAGCACTTGAAGTTAACCTAAGTAAGTAAATTCCTTTTTTTGGAAAAATTAAAGTTAAATTAGGTTTTGAGCAGTTGAGGTAAACTTTTTGATTTTAAGAACTTTATGAAGTGTTTCTCCGGAGAAAATCAATCCTTTTACTTTCCATAAGTAATTAATTTGGTTATAACTGATAGTATAGCAAAGAAATTATCAAATCAAAGGCTTGATTGATCCAACAAGATAAAACAGTGTTATCTATATGTTAAAACAGCAACTTTGGCTTTACAAAAGGCTCATTGTTTTGATGCAAAACAAAGGACATTTTTCTTACGTGTTCCTCGCACAGTTGGTCACAGTTGCACTTCAGAATGTCAACAAGTTGTGATTTGCACGAACCACAAGACCTGTTGACCACTTGACACAAATCAGATCTCACAATAAGAAAATCAACTTTCTAAGCGAAATTAATCGTAACTTTATAAAACAAAAACCTCGGAATTTTTCATCCTTTAAAACTAGAAAGTAAGCTTACATAAGATAAGCTAATTTGCATATATTTATTGATCTTTTTATCGAGGCAGAAACGACACATCTGACCAGCGCTTCCATAATAGAACAAATCAAATCAGGCCTTTTCATTGTTATAATGACAATGTAAGCCGCAGTTGAGCTCTTTTCGACATTATTATTATTATTAATGTCATAGAAAATAAAAGTTCAAACCGCACGTTTTGTGCTGCCGGTAATATGTAAATCGTGCACGCAAAAGGGCTCAAACTTGTCAAGCAAGTTCAATATAATCTGTTCATTTGGTTCCTAATTACCCTCTCGACATTGCATAAGCCTATGGTACAAAAATAAACTAAAACTATCAAGTTATTTCGTAATCTTACCTTTATGCAATCTTCAGCGGCCATTCTTACATGCGCGGGAAACGCTGTGGCCTTGGTAACCACTCCTAAAAAAGGACATTCGAGATCGTCACGCAACGCGCGTCACTCGCGCTAGCCTTTTCCAGGCCAGGGGTTCAGTTAGTTGGGGCGCAGCGCGAAAAACGGCGCGCTTTTTTTTATTTTTTCGCGCGCTGTTTTTCGTGCTGCACCCCAACTAACTGAACGCCTGGAAGAGGTTATACTCGCGCAGACGAGGTAGCTTTTTCGCGCAGTTCGTCGAGCGTGACGCGAAAGAAAACCGCGTTAAAAAAATGGCCGCGCCCCCGGAATTACTTCGAAGCTCGAGGTAAACAAACAAACGATGTAAAAGAGAAGAAAATTTTTTTATTTTTCTTTCCTCTCGTGGCAAACAGCAAAAACTAGGGGGTGAGGGGTAGCCAAGGGTTTTATATAAGGGGAGACTCCCCGCCCGTCCAAACCCTCTCCCACTTATCTTATATATCATTTTTGAAGGAAAAGGAAGTTGTTTTATCTATCTTTCATGCAAAATGATGCCCCATTCACATACCGACAATTGACAAAGGACGTAAAGCAGGCGTTCATCTGATCGAGTTATTTTGCATGATCTTTTGAATACCTAAATGGCAATTTTGTTAC